TCAACCCCATAACCTATCAAATAGCTCAGTGTGAAAAACGCCCAAAAGTTTTGTTTTTTACCCCGATAGGCCAGGCCAATCACCGCAAAGGTTATGAGCAAGTTAATGGTACTGAAAGCCGCCAGTTCTTTACTAATTAATGCAATGGCAATTAGGCCAAAAACGTGAAGCAAAAGGAGTAAGCGCACACCCTGCTGGCGGCAAAAGGTTTTTATTTCATCCATGTGGCTTTCGCTCTTCAATTAGTGAAACCGTAATTTTTGCGCTGAGCAAACAAAGGGGAACTCCTCCGCCCGGGTGAACGCTGCCCCCACAAAAATACAGATCCTTTATGCGCTGGCTGAAATTGGGGTGTCTTAAAAATGCTGCCATTAGGTTGTTGCTGCTGGCTCCGTACAATGAGCCCTGAAAGCTGCCCGTTTTTTGCTCAATGGTAATGGGCTCCAAAATATCTTCATACTCAATTAAATCGGCTATGTTTCGCTTTAGAATACGGCTCAATTTTGCCAATACATTGTTCTTCACTTCCCTTTTCAATGCTGGCCAGTCTTGTCCCGTATTGCCGGGCACATTTACCATTACAAACCAATTTTCACAGCCCGGAGGTGCGTCTTGCGCCTCCTCCTTGCTCGATATGTTCACATACACCGTAGGGTCGTGGTAAACGGTTTGTTTTTCAAAAATATGCGCAAACTCCGCCCGATAATTGTCGCTAAAGAAAATATTGTGCAAGTCCAATTGCTCAAATTTACCTTTTATGCCCCAATAAAAAATAAGGGCCGAGCTGCTGCGCGGTTGTGATAAGGTTTTTTCGGGAGCTACTGCCGTAGGAAGAAGCTTTCGATAAGTTGGCACAACATCCGCATTGCTCACGATGAGACCGTATGGCGTGCTACTGGCCGCGGTTTTAACCGCCACGGCCTTGCCTCCCTCGGTTATAATTTCTTCCACGCGTGAATTAAAGTGAAAGGCAACGCCTAAATCTTTACCCAATTGAAACAGGGTTTGTGTTATGCCGTGCATGCCGCCCTTGGGGTAGTAGGTGCCAATATTGTGCTCCAGATGCGAAATGCTGCTCATCACCCCAGGCGTTAAATACGGGCTGCTCCCATTGTAGGTTGCAAAGCGATCAAATAGCTGCACCAACTTGGGGTGCTGTAATTTTTTGTGATTTAAACGGTGCAGCGTGCTCAGCAGTTGCATTTTATGTATTTGGCTCAAGGCCGAAAGGGTTTCGCGGTTCAAATAACTCTTGAGGCGATGCAGCGATTTCTCCAAAAACACCGGGGTGGTTTTATGGTAAATTTTGGCGCTCATGGCCAGGTAGTCTTTCACCTTTTGCGCATCAACATCTAGCTTGTCTTCCACCTCCAGGGCAAAGCGCCCGGAATCTGCATAGGCCGTTAAGCGGGTTCCATCTTCCCAAAAATACTGGCAGGCAATGTCCTTGGCGTAGTAATCGTAATAATCGCGTGGGTTTTTGCCGCAATCTGCAATCAGGTTATCCAGTAATTGCGGCAGCGTAAAAAGCGAAGGGCCGGCATCAAAGCGATAGTTGTCGTCACCCGCAAGGGCAACCTTGCCCCCGGGATAGGTATTGGCTTCAAAAACCGACACTTGCCAGCCACTGGCCGCTAAACGGGCCGCGGTGGCCATGCCCGCTATTCCCGAACCTATAATTGCCGCCTTTCCTTTCATTGTAAAAATTAGAGAACAAAACTATTTAATAAGCAGCTTGTTCTTAGGGGCAATGAATTGGTGGAAAAAATTTAGGCGCCTCAACCCGCCTGTACAATGGTTGTTTGTCTTTATAGTGTGTATTCTTATTCTGGCATTAGCCTTTGCGCCCAGCCCTAAACCCATTGATTATAATCAGGTTAACTTTACCACTACTTCAGATTCGCGCCTCTATTTTCAAAACATGCGCAGCTTTTACTATAACATAGATACCCGCTCTAAAAAACCCATGATAATTTACCGGTTAAAGCGCAGAAAACCTGAGGCAGACGCACGGGGTTTGCAGTTTTCTATTGTACAACACCCCCTGGCTGGAAACGCGTACGCCTATGCAGAATTGGGTGAGAAATGGAAACAATATGACTCCCTTCATGTTGACTTTTTGAATTATTCAAGAGAAGTACTCGGAAATTTAAACAGTGAAGACCACTACCGGATTGCCGCCAAGGTTTTTAGCAGTTTGCTGGACAATGAAACAGTATTTCTCGTATCGAGAACCGATACTCTTACCGAGTTGTATGCCGATGAGCAATTGCGTTTAAATGCCGAAATTACACTCGAAGATTTTTTTAAATTAACCAATAAAAACTAAACAATGTCAACAATCAATACAAACTGGAAAGGTATAGCAATCAAGCACGGTATTTACCTCATGTTGGGCCTCATTGGCTTTTTTCTATTGATGCTTGCCACTGACCTGGCACACGTTTACTGGCTGCGCGTGCTCAACGCCTTTATTCTTTATTTCATCGTGCAGGCGGCCATAAAAAATTTTAAAAGCAGAAGCAGGGCCAGTTATTACGAAGACTTCTTAGACTTTTTCCGTGTGGGAATGATTACGGGCATCATTGGCATCATTGGTTTTGTTGTATTTATTGCCTTGTATCTTGACGTAATAAATCCGGCTTTTATGGAAGAGGTGCGAACCACTGAAAAGTTATCGCCCTACCTAACCCCAATTACCGCTGCCGGTATTGTAATGATTGAGGGCATTGGCTCCACCTTTATTTGCTGCTATTTGGCCATTCAATACCAAAAGCGATCAACGGTAGAAACGCCCATTGACCCAAACGCTTCGAAGGACAAAATGAAACAAAAGGCCAAGGTTGACTCGAGAAACTCATAGGCTACCATCGGAGGGAATGAGCCCATATTTTGTTGAAATGTGCGGGTGTAAATTCTAGCATTTAAAGGGGCATGTCTGAAATCTTAGAAAAAGCTCAACTGGCCGATTGGCTAACGGTGATTATCATACTGATTCTCACCTTTATTTTAGCTTCTATCACGAGAAGGGTAATGAATCGTTTCATTAACCTTGCTTCCGAGCGGCTAAAAACCGATCCTACCCGCTACAAGTTCCTGAAGCACTTTCTCACTTCGGCTATAATTATCCTCGGGCTGGGTTTGGCCATCTATACCATCCCCTCTCTCCGTTCGTTGGCCATCTCTATGTTTGCCGGTGCCGGAATATTGGCCGTAGTGGTGGGCTTTGCCTCGCAAGCGGCTTTTTCCAATATCGTAAGCGGCATATTCATCGTAATTTTTAAGCCTTTTCGCATTGGCGATAGAATAACGGTTGGTACGCACAGCGGCACTATTGAAGATATTACGCTGCGCCATACCGTCATTCGAAACTGGGAAAACCGCATGGTGATTATTCCCAATTCGGTTATAAGTAACGAAACGGTGGTCAACTCCAGCATTTTAGACGAACGCATTTGCAATTTTTTTGAAATTGGCATAAGCTATGATTCTGATGTGGAGAAGGCCTTGCAAATAATGGCCGAGGAAGCTGAAAAACATCCCTTTCTTCGTGACAATCGCAGCCCGGAGGAAATTGAGAACAATGCCCCCAAAGTGGTGACCCGCGTTATGGGCTTTGGAGAATCTTCGGTAAACCTACGCGCCTGGCTGTGGGCCGACAATGTGGGCAACGCCTTTATTATGAGCAAAGATTTGAATAAAACCGTAAAGGCCCGGTTTGATCAAGAGGGTATTGAAATTCCCTTTCCCCATCGTACGCTGGTTTTCAAAAACCAAGCGCCCAAACAATAGCCTAACACCGCTTTTTTCGCGTAATCTGCCCGAACCCTTGCCGCACTTACTTTTTTTTCTTTTGCGTGGTTTTGTCCTTAAACTGATCGAGCGAAGTAATGGGCACGCGCTCTTCCAGGCGTCCTTCCGCAAAAGCCCTGCGCAATATGGCTTCTATTAGTTTATCCTCCTCGTCCTCTCCCGGTTTATAGGGAGTTTTCAAACTAATTTCATTGAAATTGGCAACTACGTTCCACCAGAAGGCGTTCCAGCCGCTGCGGTATTCGTCTATCAACTCATAAGTGGTCATTCCGGTTTCCCGGGAAACCAGTTTGCTTAAAATTTGACCTTCGCTATGCGTGAGCTTTACAATTTCCTCCTCAAAATTATTTTCGAGGTATTCTTGAAATTCCTTGGTAAGGCGTTTTCTTTCCCACCTCCCCTTGGTCTCGGCCAGAATGAGGTTGAGGCTATCGAGCTTGTTTCCGGCAATAACCGCGTAGGGGTAAACCTTTATCACCTTGCGCTTGAGGATGTAATAGCGGTGGCGCGCCTGCCGGCTGTCAAAAGTGGGCTCGTCTACCAACAACACCTCATCCAAAACCATAAGCGGGATGGTGTCGCCATCTACGATAATGGCATCCATTATTCCTTCCCGGTTTTTGCTCACGTAGCTCACCAGCGAATCTTTCAGGCTGCGGGAGGTAGTATCTTTTTGCGCCTTCAGGTTGCTGCCAAGAAATAGTATCAGCAATATTGGTGCGGTAAATCTCATCTTCTATTTGTCTTCCAGGCACTGCGCCCTTCCGATGTTTCAGCCGCTTGTACCTTTTTCTTTGCCTTGGTAGATTCCAAAAGATGTGCCACTACCATTGCCGCTACACCTTCTTCTTCCGCATTGCTTTCGCTATCCAACAATTCTGGCTTAAAATGCTTTTTCACGAAATGGGTGTCAAAATCACCGGAAATGAATGAAGGGTGTTGCATGACAAACTTGCCAAAATCAAGCGTAGTGGTTAAGCCCACAATTTCGTAATCTTCACAGGCCCTAATCATTCGCATGCGGGCTTCCTCCCGGTCTTTTCCGTAGGTCACCAATTTTGATATCATGGGGTCGTAGTGAATCGGAATGTCCATTCCTTGCTCAAAGCCATCGTCTACCCGAATACCCGGACCGTGGGGTCGTTTATACACTTTCAGGTTTCCGATATCGGGCATAAAGTTTTCCCGCGCATTTTCAGCGTAAACCCGAACCTCAAAGGCGTGGCCTTCAATTTTCAAGTCTTCCTGGGCAAAGGATAATTTCTCGCCCCGCGCCACTTTTATTTGCTCTTTCACCAGGTCAATTCCGGTTATCATTTCGGTAACGGGGTGTTCTACCTGCAAACGAGTATTCATTTCCATGAAGTAGAAGTTTTTCTGCTCGTCCATGATAAACTCTACCGTACCAGCCCCAATGTAATCGCAACTGCGGGCAACGTCTACCGCTTTCTTGCCCATCTCTGCCCTCAGGGCATCGGAGAGAATTGCTGAGGGAGCCTCTTCTACCACTTTTTGGTGCCTGCGCTGCACACTGCAATCGCGCTCAAAAAGGTGCACCATGTTTCCGTGCGTATCACAAAGCACCTGCACTTCAATGTGGCGCGGACTGCCCACGTATTTTTCAATAAACACCGCTCCGTTTCCAAAAGCCGATTTCGCCTCCGAAATAGCGCTGTGAATTTGTTCTTCCAGTTCTTCTTCGCGTTCCACAATGCGCATGCCTTTTCCTCCCCCACCGGCCGAGGCTTTAATCAAAACCGGAAAGCCTATTTCCTTGCAAATCTGCTTGGCTTCTTCGGGGTCTTCTACCGCTCCCTCGGTGCCCGGCACCAGGGGAATTCCAAACTCCTTGGCCGCCTCCTTGGCCGAGAGTTTGTCGCCCATAATTTGCATGGATTTGGCCTTGGGACCAATAAAGGTGATACCCGCCTTTTCTACCGCTTCTGCAAAGGCGCCATTTTCACTCAAAAATCCGTAGCCCGGATGGATGCCATCAACCTTTAACTCCTTACAGGCCTCAATAATCTTATCGCCCAACAAGTAACTTTGATTGGAGGGAGGGGGTCCCAGCAATACCGCTTCGTCTGCGTATTTTACGTGAGGTGAATTTCGATCGGCTTCCGAGTAAACGGCCACCGTTTTAATGCCCATCTCCCGGGCTGATTTCATTATGCGTAAGGCTATTTCGCCACGATTGGCAACCAGTATTTTGTTCATGCTTATGCTTTGTGCGGGCTAAGATATGTAAGACTTCGCAGAAGTCCATTTTGTCAGGCCCAGAAAGAAACCGGAGGATTTCAACAATTGGCCAAACCGCATTGATGGACATACTCAAATCCCATGCGGTATCCTTTAAAAATTTCCAGAATTGGCCCTAAATTCGGCTTTTAGCGCCAAAGGCTTATTGGCCGGAGCCGCGGCCCCACGCTTCCACTCCTACCGCCCGCCTGAATAGCCATACACCCTTGCACAAAGCCGTAGAACGCTTTCCGCAGAAATGCGCCAAAACTCACTGTTTTATAAAGCGCACGCTGCCCTGCTGGTCGCCATTGCTGAACGCTAAAAGGTAGAGGCCCGGGGCCAGGCCTTGCAGACCACGAACGTTTAATTGTTGATTTTGCACCGCGCGGGTGGTCTTAATTACCAACTGCCCCGATGGATTGAAAACCTGAATTTGATAGTTTTCAGAAGCAGGGTTTTTCATTTTCAAATGCAAACGGTCTTGCACCGGGTTGGGATAAAATTCCTGCTCTTTTTGATTTTGATGCTCTACTGCTCCCAAGCCGCTTTGTTGATACACCCGAACGTAGTCAATTTCCATGGTGTCTTCTACAAACGAAGCCGCTATGCTTGGCTCAATGGCGATGTTTAACAAGATATATTGCTCGGCATCAAAGGGCCAGGTGGAAGCATTTTTCACCGCGGGTTGATACACAAAGTGTACGTTGCTATCAACGCTAAAAACCAATTTGTTTTTGGTCCACTCCAAAGCATACACGTGAAATTCGTCAGAAACCGTTGCAATTGTTTGGCCGCCATGATTTACCGTACCGCCAAAGCTGGAAGGTGTGTGGGTGGCGCTGCTCACATAGTTCTGATTGGCACCCCAATGCTCCATGATGTCCATTTCTCCGCAAGCCGGCCAGGCAGTGGTTCCGTAGCCCTGGGTTTGCCAGTAAGCTCCCGCTTCGTTTATGTTTTTTCCCAACATCCAAATGGCCGGCCAGGTACCGGCCCCGCGCGGCAATTTAGCACGTACCTCCACCCTGCCGTATGTAAAGGCAAACTTAGCGTTTAACCGGGCCGAGGTGTACTGCTTAGTGTGTCCCTGACTGGTGTATTGTTCTTTTTTGGCAATGAGATTTAAGTTCCCGTTGGTCACCGAGGCGTTATCAAGGCGGTCTGTGTAGTGCTGTATTTCACCATTAAACCAGCTTCCGCCCGCTGGCAATTTGGTTTGATGAAACCACTTGGCGGTATCAATGGCCCCGTTGCCATTAAACTCGTCAGACCAAACCAGTTTTGTAAAAACAGAGCTTGGGGCCGTCTGAGCGGTGTCCAGATATAAAAAGTCGTCAATAAAAGCCTTCACCTGATCGTTGTTGTTTTCACCATTTACCTGAATCACAACCCGATCAAAGTCGGAACGCGCAATGGGAGCAGCCGAGGCGGGGTCGAGGTTTACATAAGGGTCATGGGCAAAATCGAAGCGAAGTACCTGCCATTGATCCAGTTGAATTGTCTTTATAATTTCAGATTGTGTGCTCCAAGGAGCGGGCAAAGTGCCGTCTTGCAGCTTTAGCGAAACCTGGTTGTTTTGATTTCCGGACAAACCAGGGGAAGGCACGTATATTTTAAAGCTAAAAACATGCGCGGTGGCCATGTTGAGTTTTCTACCGGCATCAAACCGTAGGTTGGCGTAAGTGCCGCCCACATCGTGGTATTCGGCTACCGTGGCCGAGGTGTTTATACCCCCCGAAACCGGATTCGGAAGAACCTGGAAACCGCAGTTGTCACCATACCAGGTGTTGATGTTTCCCTGCCCCTCAAAATTGTCGTGCAGGCTTTGCGCCATGATCCGTGCATCAAAAACAAAAGCCATAGCAGCCAAGAGTAAGCAGCGCACCTGCACCCGAAAGCAGGTGCTTATAGTTTTATTTACCATTAGTGCAAGGTACTAAAATAGACGCCATGCTTAGCGGGCGAATTAAAAGTTAAACTGCACCCTGTCTTTCATTTGCTTGTACTTGTCTTTTTGAAAGGTATAATATTCGGCCGGGCGGCCAATGGTGTGCGCTTGGTGGTGATATTTGCCCAGGGGAACAAT